AATTGAGAAACGGCCACTATGTGTGTGTTGGTGTTTGGCTTTAGTTAAAACAATCTGAGAGTCATGGTACCTGAAATCATGCTAACATTAGCCCACCTTGCTATCGCTTTTCTCGTCTCTATTTCACCAAAAGTTCTGGTTTCCATCAATCAGGACCTGAGCTGCAGGCGGGACCTCATTGCTGCGCCTGCAAAAAAAAACAATGGTAACCAAACCATGGCTAGCTGCTAATGTTTGCTAACGCTATAGCACACACAGGTTAAATTCTCATTCATATTATTGCAAGGAGGTCAAAAAAGTTTTGAAATGAAAACTGTCCAATGAGCTCTGTTTAATTTATTTATTTTTTTTTTTACAATTAAACATCAGTTTAAGATCATTTCACAAGGATTGCATGTGTGAAATATCAGGTTAACAATCATTTAAAGCTTAACTTAAAAGAGATTTAATGTTAAATTTCAAAACCTTGTTACCTGATGTAGTTTAATAGGAAACAAAGAGCAACTTTAATAGTTTTATTTGTTTATTGGCCAGATTATTCACCTGCTCTGCATCAGCTGCAACAGAACAAAAACAATATGAGGTTTTCCAGAGCTATAGTATTATAAACATTTACATTTATAGAATTTAATGTATCAGGATATATTGGGATATATCATGTTGTGAAACATGTATCATGATAATTGTTTCACCAACTTCTTGCCATTTCAAACCCCTACTTTGCACTGCTTCACAGGCTTATTTAGAACCCAAACAGGATAGTTTGCCTAAATATGGTCAATATGGGAGAAATATTCCATCACTCATTTCTCCTGGGTCATAGTTTCTGAGAGGAATCAGTTCTGAGTCCAGTTTTTATCTGTTTTTCTGAACATTTCATGTAATTTCCTGTGAATGCGAATTCTATGTACCAATTTGGGGTGAAGAAAAACTGGATTGTGTTTGATACTACAATATTTCATTTAGAGATTCGATTCAGTATCGATTTCCTGACCCAATGATTCGATTATTTTCGATACTCAGGAATACACCACGATACGATTCGATTAACTGGTTCATTTTTTTTACACCTTACAGGCTAGACTTTCTTTTTTGAGAAACTACAGAAAATAACAGAAGTAGAGAAGTTACACTCCACCTATTCCTATTAAAACCTCATTCACTGAAAAATAATAACCCTGGATCTCCGCTCTTTTTGGCCCTCATGTCCCTCCGTCGTCGGACTAAACTCGCCCACTTCCTCATCGCCTCGGCCGTATC